AAGTTTGCTTGTGGAAGTGGATGTTGGCAAAGTTGCAGCTTGTGAGTTAGCACCAAATTCGGTGTGGATCATAACACGTGTATGGTGTTTGTGTGTGCTCTGTGTATTTCTTTGTGAGGTGAGTCAGGTGGGGGCATTTTTCTGCACTCACCTCGTGTTTCTTGTGGATGAAGGGGGTATAGAAACAAACATGAAATTTGTGTTTTTGTTCAAATTGTTTCCTAAAATATTAATGAGTGTCAGAGAGTTCATGTTTTCAAAACAAGCCTTACAGAAGCATAAAACTTTCTTCTATATACGCCAAATTCTATAATGTAGGTTCATAACAGGGTAATCTATTAAGACACTAATTCATTTGTTCTCTCTACATTTTTTCCCTCCTTTCCATTCCAAGAAGGTGGCCAAGTTCTTTGTAATTCTTTGCCTCTGTGACATTTGCAAAACTGAAACCATACATTCATTCAATCAATAAATAAACATTCATGAGTCTCACCTATGTGCCAGGCAGCATTCTATGCACATGGGAATAGAGCAGTGAACAAACCACGAAGTCTTTGTCTTCATGGAGTAAGGGTTCTAATGGGAGAGGCAGACAAGAAACAAATCAGTATGTAATAGAATGCCAGGCAGTGAGAAGTGCTGTAAAGAGATATAGAGCAGAATAAGTGGTTAGAGAGTCACTAGGGGTGGAGGGAGAGGGCATGCCTCCTTTTTTCAGATAGGATAGTTGCCAGAAAGGGGACATTTGAGCAGAGATCTAAATGAAGTGGGGGAGTCAGCTATGTGATTATTTAAAGGAGAAGTGTTTAAGGCAAAGGGAACAGCAAGTGCAATGCTCTGAGGAAGAATCCAAGCTTAGTACATTTGAGGCTCAGAGAGACTGAAGGCTGGAAGTGAGTGAGAGAGAGAAAGCTATCAGAAAGGAGATAGGAGGCATAGCAGAACCTGGAAGTGATATCTATAGGTCATGGTCGGGTCTGTGGATGTTTGTTTGTTTGTAAGTGTGATGGGAAGTCATTGAAACATTTTGAGCAGGTTAGAGACATCTGACTGAAGTGTTAAAAGGCTCACTCTAGATGAGTGCTGTCGAAAACAACCTTCTTCAATGATGAAAATGTTCTGTCTGCATTGCCCAGTGTGTCGCCATTGGCTAAATGTGGCTGTTGAGCATTTGAAATGTGGTATGACACAGGAAATAACATTTTAGCTCATTTTATTTAATTAATTTGAATAGCCATATGTAGCTCGTATCTACTGTATTACACAGTGTAGTTCTAGATGTTGTGCATAAAATAGACTGAAACAGAGTGAGAATTGAAGTTAGGACCACAGTAGTCCAAATAAGAGGTGATGGGCACCGAGGTGGTAGCGCTGGATATATTTTGAAGGTAGAGGCAACAGGCTGATGGAGTAATATTCTATAGTGTAAGAAAGAAAGGAATTGAAAACGATTCTTAAGTTTTGGGCTTGCAGGTGAATGGGAAATGATAGGGAATGAGCAGAAAGTTTCCATTTTGTGTTGCTTTGTTTTCTTCCCCAAACCTAAGCTCATCGATGAGGCTCTTCTAGGGTCCTAAAGTGGAAGGGAGGGGGGACGGTGCCCTGGAGGGCAGCCAGATTGGGAGGAAATCTGAAGTCAGGAATCTTCCAAACTGTGCAGACCTAAACCCTACTCTTTGCAGACTCTCTGAGGGAGTGCACTAGGGAGGCTGGATCCCCCAGAAAACTCTGCCACAAGTCTGGCCCCAAAGCAGCAGAGCTTCCTGATCCAAAGATACCGTTGGGCTGGGATAATGGATGTGTCACTAGTGACCTGGGTGGCTGATATGTGGAAGAATCTCTCTGACCCTGCCTGAGACACTGAGCTTTATAAGGGTGTGGAAAATTGCTGGGTATCAGTGTTCTGCCAGCCTTGAGAGACTGGTATTTGGAGTCATTGGTACATGCATTTAAAGTAGAGAAAGATGTGTAGGGACTTGAGAAGCACTGAAGCCTTGTGGATGGGCTGACATTTAGGCTTGGCTGTGAGGGAAATTGGGAGGTTTAGGAGGCAGAGTCACTTCTGTGGCATAGCCTCTAGGTTCTGAGAACAGTAATCGATGTTCAGTTTCTTCTGGGACCTCCTCAAGAGGTATAAAAGATTCTTTCATTCAGGTTATTCTGTCAGTGTGTTAGGAATAACTTTTAATTTTGCATTTTGAAGAAGGTGGGGATCACACACTGTGATATCTATGCCAAGGCAAGTATACACCTTTCACAAGCAGTAAGTAAGATAAAGAATAAGGAGTAAACAAATCTGGGTTTGAAACCCAGCTTCCTCCCATACTAGCTATGTGACTTGGGGCAATTAACCTCAGTTAATTAATTACTTTTTTCTGAGCCTCAATTTACTCATTCATAAAATGGGACCTCCCAGTTCTGAAATGAGGAGTAAATAATGTATGTAAAATATCTTGCATGGTCCCTGACACATAAGAAGAGTTCAGTAAATGCTGATTTCCCTTTCCTGTAGAATTGCCCAGAGCTGCTCCTCATAGCTTTAGCCCCTGAACCCTCTTGTGGTGTGTTGGCCAGAATCTCGTGTTTGATCTCTATTTCCATGGCTTGCTCAGATCTCATCATGGCCTTTTCTCCCCTGCATTAATTCTAAGCGCCTGTTTGTTGTTCAAGCAAAATTCTCTCTTTGCCTAGTACCTTGTGATCTGAAAAAGCAGCTGTAAATAGAAGATGTGCTCCCTATGATGCAGCACTGCTGGCATTTTGCTCTTTAAAGGTTAATGGCCAGAACTGTACCTTTGGAAAACTCGACCTACAGCACTCACCAGAAATTATTGTGCAGAGAAGTGGGGCTAAGAGGATGTGGGGAGAGTGTTGAGGAAGGTCTATGGAGTGGGATGGTGAACCTATATAGGGAGAACGGTACATTCTGGAAAAAAAAAAAGATGGGCCATGGAAGCCCACAGCCATGAGAGGTAGCAGGACTATGGCCTCCATCTGGTCCCCTTCCTGGACCAAGGTCTTATTGCCTTCCCTTGCGAGAGAATTCCTGAGAGGACTTGTGGTAATAATTCGGGGCCCAATCATGCTTCAGTTGTAATTTATTTAAAGTCAACAACAGGGTTCCAGCCTTTTACAAGAAGATTTCCAGTATTTGAATCTCTGAGGCTGGATTTTTTTGTCTTGCTAAAAATGAGGTTATATTTCACACTTATTACAGCACCTGGCACCTGACACCCTCCAGAGACTTTATAAAACTAATGAAATGAAACCCTCAGCTCTATTGTAAACAGGAAAGAAAGAGGAGAAACCAGACCCCATACCCTCTCTTCATAGGAGGCAAAGGGCCAAACCTGACTCACCTCAACCTCATAGGCACATCCAGATTTTTTTTTAGGCCAATTGTAAAGGGCTTTTGATTGATCCTCATGGAGATTGTAGCTCACAGCATCTCCTGGAAATCAGGATCCACCTGAAAAAAAAAAAAAAGGGTCAATCTGGCACCAGCATACAGCTCTGACCTGTATGGAGATGAGTCCTCCAGACCCAGGAAACTGGCCCCAGCTTTTCACACTCAGCGTCAGACAATAACCAGTTAGAGAAGCTGGATTAATCTTTGCCAAATGTCCCCAGGAGTTAAAGTATGTGGCCATGTCTGTCCTGAGATGGAAAGGTGAATGCAGGATTTGGGGTGTGGTTCAACTGAGGAAAAGTATAGTCGTATGATTCTCACCAATCCTGCAACACAGCTGTCCTTTTATCTTATCCCTGATTGGATCTGTTTGGAAAACAATAGGTTTTATAGTAAGAGACCTGAGTTCAAATCATCCTTCTGCCACTTATTAGCCTCGAAACTTAATTTCTCCAAGTCTCAGTTTTCACATCTGTGTAACGGAATAATAATACTGTTATAGTTATCTATTGCTGTGTAACAAATAACCCCAAACTTAGTGGCATAAAAAACCAACCAATCTGTCGTGCTCACAGATTCTGTGGGTTAATCATTTAGACAAGGGACACTGGGTTGTTTCTGCTTCATGATGTCTGGGATTTCAGCTGGGATGACTTGAAACTGGGCTCAGTTGGGACTGCTGACCAAAGCATCTATCCATGACCTCTCCACATGGCTTGGGCTTCCTCATAGCATGATGGTCTCTGGGACTTCTTACATGATGTCTCCAGGTTCCAAGAGTGAGTATCCCAGCCAATAAGGCAGCAACTTCATGGCCTTATTATGATCTGGCTTTGGGATTCACGTAGCATCATTTGCACCATACTTTACAGTCAAAGAAGTCACCAGCCTGCCCAGATTTAAGAGGGAGAACATAAAATAGACATCACCTCTTGCTGAGAGGAGGGTCAAAGAATTTGTAGCCATGCTTAAAAATGCCACCAATTTCGCCCTTGCTTAGTTCCTCCAAGGAATAAAATAACAATCTTATACATAACAGGGGCTCAATAAATAGTATTCTGTATTCCCCCATCTCCTTTAGGACTTTCAGAAAAGTTTTACTCATTCCAAAGGAGAGGAACACAACCAAAGTTGCCAAAATAACTAAAGCTGCTTCTCTCTTTTCTGTCTTGTGTCCCACTCTGGATTATCACAAAACCTGGAGAAATAGTCCCTCAATGCCAAATCGTAGGGCAGTGGTGACCTAGGGCAGATAGGTGACTTAATTGCCCTTAAGAATTTTCAGAGCTACTTCTCAGGAAAGAAAATTAAAAGAAATAGGGGAAAACCAAGTCCAGAGCTTGAATCCTCTGCTAATAGAGAGTCCAGCCCTCTGATTCAATTCTAGGCATGTGCAGGCCCTGCACGATGGCTTTAAGATGAGTCTGTATTTGACTGTGTACTTCATGCCCTGTGAGGAAACCACCCTGGGAGTATTTGCATATCTGTGATGGACAGAGCACTCCAATGAGGCAGAGGGACTGAATCAGAGGAAGGCAAGGAAGCTGCCAGGTTTGGAGTCCACTCGGTGAACAAAATTCCACATTTAAAATCCAACTCCAATGTTTTGAGGTCTAAGTTTCATTTACTCTTCTTTTGTTCACAGAAAGAATAGAAACGTTAAGGGGCTCAGAGAAACACCTCTTTCACACTGAAGCACTTTCACAAGGCCATCGGGAAGAAGTGAATATAAATGAATTAGGAAATCATGGCTTCTTTTTTGCCCTTGAGTTATATAAGGGGAGGTAAATTAAGGGGGAAAACTGCTAAGGGAAGGAAAAGTATGTAGGGTTTTAGTCAATTTTGAGGCTTTGAAAGCACTTTGGGTATCATGTTGTAATGCTTTCCGCTGGGACCACCAAGAGATGCTGTTGAGCAGGTGGACAGTGAAAACCATATGGACAAGCAGAAAGGCCCCAGATATCAAGGGAAAAGTGGTATGGTGGGAGGTGGCGTATTAATCTATCGCTGTGTAACATAGTACCCCCAAAATGTAGCAGCTTTAAAAATAAACATTTGTTATCTCACAGTTTCTGAAAGATGGAAATTGGTGAACAGTTTAGCAAGGTGGTTCTGGCTCATGGTCTCTCAGGAGATTGTATTGCTTGGGGCTGAAGTCATCTGAAGGCTTGTCTGGGGCTGGAGGATCTACTTCTAACATGAGTCACTGATGTGGTTGTTTGCTGAAAGTCTCATTTTCTCCACAGAGATGCTTATGATATGACAACAGAATCTTAAAGCATATGATGTGAGAGCGAGAGGGAAAAATGAGCCCAAGACAGAACTTGCAGTGTCTTTTATAACCTAATCTCAGAAGTGCTATAACGTTACTTCTGCCATATTCTATTGGTCACATAGACTGCCTGGGCACAGTGTGGGAAGGAGCCACACCAGGTGTGAATACCAGGAGGCAGGAATTATCGGAGGCTGGATACAAATGGGAGAGGCACAGAGACCAGGAAGGCAGGTGGATCTGGGATCCTCGCCTGAATGCTTTTTGGTTCAAAGAAGGGCAATCTTCCTATGATCTCCACTCCATCTCTCTCTTTTCCACCCTTCATTGTCTATAAACTCCATGAGGACAGGAGCTACTTACCTGTCTGTCTTACTCACTGCTCTTCCCTGGTGACTGGCCCATGC